CCATCTCAAAAAAAACAACTAAGTTTATTTTCATAATCACAGTTTTGTGAACAATTTTATTATGTAATTGGTTAGATTTGATATATTTATGAAATCAAATTGACAAGTCTCTATTGCCGTTCCATTACCTGTTTCTGGGCATATTTTAAAAAAACCAACTGCAGTTTCTCTTACAGTAAGCAGATGACAGAGAATTGCTAAACAAGCAAGACCTTTATACAGCCTGCTTCTATTAGAGAGAAGAGAGGAGCACTCACATTCAGAAAAGCATCTTTTCTTTCAATCTTCTAGCACTGAGTATGGTTTTAAAAAAGTGATTTGGTTCACGCTGAGCTCTAAAAGGAGGATTTCTGGAGTTGAAGATGTGTGTAGAGGGCCCCACAGAAACAGGTGTGGTTAAACGTAAGCACAGAAATCAGCAGGTGTTCACTACTAGTATTGATTTAAACACTGCAGGTAATTGGGCTAACAGCCATGAGCAGTTGTCCTCATAGTGTGGATTCACGATGGTCTTTTAGAAGGAAAGAGAGCCTGAAAGTCTAAAAGCTTATCGTCCTCCTGTATTTGGTCTTTCTACAGTAATCTCTGGCTTGCAACAGCTCTTATTCTCCACAAATCTTAAAAGATTTAACTTCTCCCATTACCGTAAAGTTGAGGACATGTTATTCCAGGTAAGACATGGGATCCTGACACTTATTAGGAGGAATTTGTGTAACAATTCATATTTGAATGGATCCTTAAAGTCATTTACTAGCAAAAGTAGGAGCTTAAAAGAAAGCATAAAATATGCTGAGACTTATCAAAGACCATAAGTATGCCCGTACTCCTGAGTTGGTGAAGGAATTTTTTTTTGTTTTTTATCTGCCTGTGTTGGCATAAAACATAGGATTGATTCATTTCCTTGGACTTACATATTTTTTAAAACTATATTTTATCTTCTATTCTTACTTTCCGAGAAGAACAACCAGATATTGGTGGAAACCACAACAGCCCAAGCAAGCTTTTTCTTAGGCTGGAAAATAAGTAGAATTTGTTGGTTTAGAAAACTATAGTTGGCCAGCTGGGGGTGGCTCACACTAGCAATCCTAGCACTTGGGGAGGCTGAGGAGGGTGGATCACTTGAGTCTAAGAGTTTGAGACCAGCCTGGGCAATATAGTGAGACCTCGTCTCTACAAAAAATTTAAAAATTTAAAAATTAGCTGGGCGTGGTGGCATGGGCCTGTAGTCCCAGCTACTTAGGAAGTTGAGGTGGGTGGATTGCTTGGGCCCTGGAGACAGAAGTTACAGTCAGTTGATGTTGGACCACTGCACTCCAGGCTGGGTGACAGAAAGCAAGACTCTGTCTCAAAAGGGAAAAAAAAAATGGGAACACTATGGTGAACGCTTGTTTCAAAGCAGATGAAAGTCTAATAAAGTTTTATACTATTGAAAATTTAACCAACAGTTGTACAGTGCTGTATTTTGTGACCAGTTAGCTCACATAATCAATCATGAGAAACAACTTGGTGTATCAGGTATATGCTGAGAAGCACTGGCTACGAGTTCTTACAAAGTTGAATATGCCAGGGAGAGAATAGCTCTCCTGCAAGAGTGGGCCACATATTCCACATGCCAGTGTGCAACTGACTAATCCATCGCCATTATCACTCAACACGATACACCGGCCACTAGAGTCCTTATTTTTCAGGAGGCCCGCGAAGCAATTCAAGAACTATCCTCTGATATACCAATTTATGACATTTGGGGGGCAACCCTCAAATTACTGCTCTAGGTAATGACAAAAATACATTTTAAGTGTCCCCCTCCCACTTTTTTTATTGAGATAGAGTCTTACTCTGTTGCCCAGGCTGGAGTACAGCAGTACGATTTTGGCTCACTGAAACCTCTTCCT